GCTACTATTTGTCATCTATTATGGCTACACTGTTATTTCATTATGGCCCTTATAATCCCATAATAGTTCATTTCTTATGCTTTATGTTAGCCACATGATAATCACTTTGGTGGGAATGCTTTAGTAAAATACTGTAACGATATATTTTATATAAAGGAAACCATTATGATGGGAATAGACACCTACAGAGTTTTGTATCCATGGGGATCCTGGAACCAAACTGCAGCAGGTATCAAATGTCTACTGTATATAGATATAAAACAGATCCTGAATAGTTTGTCCCACTAGAAAACACAGAACATTGCTCCAAAGGCATGTTCTATCTGGCCCCGTATAAAGCCTATGATCCTAAGTGACATGCAGTGCTCTACAATGTAAAACTCTGAGCACTAATAAGTTAAGGTGAAGTTGTGAGCAGCCAGAAAATGCTTAAAAACAAATACAGTCCAAACTAGTACTTTTTAAAAAGTGCATGCTCATTGCCTGAACAGTACATGCAAATGGATGATAGTTTCATTTCATGCAACCTACTCTTTTGTACTGTTCATTAATCATTACATGCATATCTTGCAGTGAATTAAAATTTGCCAACTTGAGTGGCACATCAGATTTTGGCCGGAGAGGCCAGATTCTAATTCCCTTACAATCTTTACAATCAGTTTATGAGACAACAAATGCAAGTAAACCTCTCTTGCTCCATTTCAGTCCTCTTTCGTGAAACAGAAATATACTTGATTTGTTTTACAGACACATAGCAGGTTGAACTGTCATACAGAGGATAAATAATTATAAACATCAGACATGATAGAAACCAGTGATCTTGGTGGTTCTCTTGCCAATTAACATTACCCAAAATTCTCCTGGCATAGTTTCCCCCTCCCCATTTCTATTTTAATTATTCCTGTCTAGAAGAAAATAAATAGCTCAGTTTTTGGGCGGAAAAAGAGAGAATGGCAGGAGGATTTATATGTTATAAAACAAGAACATTCTGGAATTACAAACAGATCACGTTTGTGTTTGTACAAAGTATTTGTTGGCTTTAAATGTTTTCTACAGACACTATTACTATAGAGCTTATGGATTTCTCTCACGGGAAAACAAAACCCAAACCTGAATTCTATCAGGAATCTGGTACCTTGTAAAGAAATTACTCCATAAAAACGTGGGAAATAAAGCCAGTGCTGGCATGTTTTCTCAAGTTTTATAGCTAAACTCTTAGACAGTATGTCCTTGTCTAAAGTAAAACTGAAGGGAACCAACCAGACTGCCAATATTATTTTTAAAATCATATCAGGACTGAATTTAAAACAACACATTTTTGCCCCACAAGCACAGCAAGACCGACATGAAAAACTAACTCGTTCATCTTCAATTAACCACAGTTTAGGTCTACATCCAAACCTGAAATTGGCTAATTATAACTAGAGATTCACATGAACGCTCCCATGTTGAAAGAAAGTGCATGAAGAGAAGAGCCATCTAGCTTCCCTGAACGCTCCCATGCAGAAGAAATGCTGGCAATAGTGAAAGTTTTCTAAATGTCACCCATTTACACAAATGTTAGGAACAATGCGTAATGCTTCACATGTGTTAAATGCTTCAGTTGTACTCCACAAAAATGAAAATCAGCCTGTTTAGCAAGGCTTGCAAATGTCAATTTATTGTCACTAAATGTTTGATTTTTAGATATATATATATTATATTATATTATATTATATTATATTTATATACCTGGAGTAATATAAAAATGTATCAGATAGAATAGTGTCACAAGAGGAAAGGTTTTAGGAGGCCCTGCTCTACACAAAGATATTGTGTATGCAGCAAGGACTTTTCCCACACTATCCAATTGTGAAAACAGCAAGGAAATATTTCCCACTGGGAAGCTGGAAGGCACGGCCATAGCACACACAAGTCCAGCAAAAGCAGATTTCAAAAGCAGATTTCTGGATGACCCAGAAATCTCTCTCTTAGTGAGTAATCTGAAAAGCCCTTATGATTGAGCAAAGCAAGTAAATTTTGCAAACCACTGATTGAAAGTTGTTTACCTATCAAGCAATACTTATTAGTACAATCTAGGAATAAATGAGTAATTGCAAATAAGTTAAGGAAAACAAGATTGAAGACTTTACCACTTCATCACACTAGAGAATGAATCCACTTTAAATCTGGATGCTGCCTCATGCAGAATTTTGGAGTTTGTAGTTTAGGGAGGAGCCTTTAACAGCCTCACTAAACTACAAAGGAGACAGAAACTGAATTTAAAGTGAATTCATTCTCTAGTTTGATGAAGTATTTGAAAATGATACATGATGTGAAGTAAGTGGAGAGAGAAAGACCAACATCTGCTCCCAAAATGCTAGAACCAGGGCGATCCAATGAAACTTAAAATGTAAAGGATTCGGGAGACAAAAAGAACTGTTTCTTCACACATTGTCTACATAAAACTAGAATTCGTGGCCTAAGATGCAATAGTGGCAACTAACTCCGACAGCAACAAGGGGAGAGAGACAAATTCAATGATGATAAAACCATCAGTGCATACTAGTCATTATGGTTTTATTCTCTTCCAGAATCAAAGACCCTAGTATATGCCCCAGCTACTGGGAAACAACTGTATTAGGGGGCTATCAGCTTTCTCCTCTCGATATGCTTCCCAGAAACATCTTGCTGACTACTGTAACAATGTGTTAAACTAGAAAAGCCTTAGGTCTCATGCAGCAAAGCTCTGTTGGGATTACTAGCAGTTGGGATGCTCTTGCGCTCCAAAACAGAGCTCTCTTTGTCAGAGTCAGAGGCCTTACCCACCAACTGACTGGTGTTCTGGGAGAAGATGTGAGTCTTTTCGTTCCGTTCAAACTGAGTCACTGTGAGTATCATTCCTTTTGCTCAATCATTGCACTTTTCTTGCTGAAATGTTATGAAGTCAGAATAGGCATTTCCATTCCCCAGACTTAATGGAACAATCAAATTATGAGAGATAAAGTGTCAGGTTGTCTTCCCCTTCTGCTTTAAACAAATACTTGAGTCCTTGGATTACATTTTCTCACTGTAACTCGAGTCATACCAACCTTTCAAGGATATAGTATCTGTTTTCAGATATAACAGAAGACCTATTTATCAAATCTGAGTCAGATACTCCTCTGTTTCCTTAACTTCAAAAAATTCTCACTCTTTCAAAGAGTACTTAATGTAAAGCTCAATACCATTCATATTTGTATGCTCATGTATATTGGGAGGGGGACTAAAACATTGATATATTAAGACTGACTTCACAAGAAATAATTAAGTGACACAACTAACCACAAAACAATAGCAGAAATAATATGAGAGAGAACAAGTTAGTGGATTATATGGCAAATAAAGAGGTCACCATCAAGTAAGTCATCAAGGCCAACGTCACCATAAACTAATAATTCACAACTGAAAAAAATAAGACAATGGAAGCTAAAAGGAAACCGAATACTTTTGATCCTGGAACTATAATTCCACCAGCAATTGTAGAGCCTTCTGCTTCTAAATATGTAAATGTAATTAAGTTAAATATCCCAAAAAAACCAATTGGGATTTATTTGGGATTAAATTATCTGGCAAAAAGGGAATCTAATGTGCATGGAAAGCAGCCACTGAACACAAAGAGTTTGCATGCAAAGAGAAACTGTCATACATATAGATTCATAGAATAATCATAGAATTGGAAGAGACCACATGGGCCATCAAGTCCAAACCCCTGCCATGCAGGAAAAGCACAATGAAGTACTCCCGACAAATGGCCATCCAAACTCTATTTAAAAGCTTCCAAGGAAGGAGCTTCCACCACATTCTGAGGCAGAGAGTTACACTGTTGAACAGCTTGTACATTCAGGATGTTCTTCCTAATGTTCAGGTGGAATCTCCTTTTCTGTAATGTTGATTTTCAGTAATCACAGCATTCCTTTCTAAGCGATTGCAGACTGCCTCCTTAATGATCTGCTCCGGAATCTTTCCTGGAATTGATGTCAAACTGACTGGATGGTAATTGTTTGGGTCCTCTTTTTTCCCTTCTTGAAGATAGGGACATTTGCCGTCCTCCATTCTGCTGGAACTTCTGTTTTCCAAGAATTCTCAAAGATGATTGCCAGTGGTTCTGAAATGACTTATTTATTTATTATTTATTTACGACATTTATATGCCGCCCTTCTCACCCCGAAGGGGACTCAGAGCAGCTTACAAGGTATATATACATACAATATATCATTAACATAGTACAATATCAGTTTTAAATATTGCTATATTGCACTATATCAATTATACTGTAATATTATTAGTAATATTACATGTAATATAAATATATTATTATAATATATTATTAATAGTAGTAGTTATATTGCATTACATTACAATATTATAAATATTATATGTATATACAATATATTATATATTATATTATAACATATTATTAGAATAGCACAGGAGACAAGGTGGAACTGTCCCCTGGCCCCCCTTTCTTCACTCCGGCCCAGAGCGGCAGTTGGTGCTGGGGGGAGGTGTCCCCAACGGATGACTTCTGCTAGTTCCTTCAATACTCTTAGATGTAGTTCATCTGGACCTGGAGACTTGAATTCATTATAGCAGGCAGGTATTCCTGGACTACTTATTTACCTATTTTGAGTTGCATTTTCTCTATTACCTCATCTGCTCCGTATTGCTCAGGTCAAACACCAATCTGCTTTTGGGAGAAGAATGAGGCAAAGGAGGTGTTGAGCAGCTCTGCCTTTTCCCTATCTCCTGTTAGCCTTTCACCACCTTCTCCATGCAGAGGCCCTATATACAATTTCTATTGTTCATCAACATAACAGATTATTTCAAGAGAAAATGGATCTGTGACAAAATAAAACTAAAGAGAAATTATAAATAAACAAGTTAAAATTATACTGATTCTAAAATGGTAGATAAGTGAACTGTGGATATATTTTTGAAACAGCAATTTTCAAGAAAAAATTCAAGTAAAACCTTCCTACCTGATTTGGGATTTAAGGAATCACACTGTGAATTATACATGTGAACGAACTCTTGATGTCTTTTAATTAGCTGCTGCTTTGTTCCCTGGGTGGACAGCCCATATTCCTTCAGCTTTTTCTTCAGATCACGATCAGAAAGCAAATTGTACACCACTTTAGGCAAGAACTTCTTTGTGTGTCCACCACTGAATTTTTAAACCAGAGAGGGAGAAAATGTCAAGAAAATGTCAAAACAACCTGAAGACAACCAAACACACAGCCATGTATTTCCTACAAGGTAGGTAATTATTTCCCAAAGCATCCTTATAAGTATAGCTCAAATACATATATTACAGGACCAAGGACAAGTTTTTAGTAGATAGGATTACGCCTGCAACTTTTTCTAGCAAAGTCTAAGTATCACTTTGCCTTCAAACATTTCCTACATTATGTTCAAAGAAAAGTAAAAAGAAAATGTGTCCTTGGCCCCAAATGTACCATGTCTATCCTCGGCATAGTGTACTAAATATATTAATATCCTACCTTTTCTCCATCACACAGGAGGTCCTTTCCTATTTTAATGCTCACAACAAATCTATGAAGAAAGTTATGCTGAACTTCATTCAAATAAAGCTTTTTAAACCTGTTTGCTTGTTCCACAGTATTTAGAAATACCATGGCTGAGTTGTCCTGAATGGCCTACCTGCAAATGTTATAGTGTTAATATATTTTCTTTTGAAAGTCATAAGACTCGAAGTCTTAAATTCATCATATTGAAAGCTACAGTTAAAATTCATCCAAATACCAGGATTAATGGCCACTTTAATTGCAATGTTTCAATTATAGTAATCTTTGTACTCTGTAGTGTAGGCTGTACGAAAATACATTTCCTGTCAGAATGACAAATGCTTGAAATGCTGACATTGAACATAAACCACTCAATGTTTGCTTCCCACAATCATATAGCAATAGGTTAAAATACAGGGAAAGCAAAAAGCCAACAGAGAAAGGTTGCTGATCTATTCCCTTGTGCTGCTCAACTGAGGAATCAAATTCTGGTTGGAAATTGAAGGATTCCACAGCAAAAGGCTCGGTTCTTTAAGAGATTGGAAAATGTAGGATTCCACAGCAAAAGGCTCAGTTCTTTAAAAGCCATATACCCATAATATAATATTTTCATAATTATGTGAAATAATATCAAACTAACAGTACCAATTCCAATACTCTCCCTCTACATTTTCAATATTATCTACAGAACTGGATTTTGACATTTATCCACACACTATTTATCCCAAGCATGGTTTGGAGCTGGTAATCTGATTTTGTTTTTTTCTGTAGACTTGCTACTTATAATAAAATGCTAACATTTTTAAAAGTTACAAATGCATAATCTTCTAACCAATGTACACGAAATCACAAAAACATAAGCACACAGACTATATGAAAAAAAATACACCAAAATACCAACACACTTGTTAGAAGTCTAAATCAATGTCAGACACTATAAATATATTCCATCTACAAGGTACTAATTGAGAGTTCGTATATTATTATGTTGCTTACACATAATAAGATTAATCACAGCAATTGAAACTAATCTTCATTAATACCTTTACTAATAAATGGTACCGTAATGGAATACAAAAATTTATTTTAAAATGAAATCTGCCATTTACAAAGCAGCATGTGCCCTGGAAATTGACTCAGTTAACCAAGGGCTATCCATTGAACAAAATAAAATTGGTTACAAAATACTATAAAATAGCCGACTTACAACCACAAACACTTGCACAGATATTAATTATTTTAAAAGATATAAATGAAATACATACATGATGGGGGGTCAAAACGTTTTGCCTCCTGTGTCATAAAAACATTACGAATGAACATGTAACAGCAAAAGTTGCTACAGATCATAGCTTGAACTGTCCTCTACACAAAACTACAGTTCAACATAGTCACCATCAATAATACAGAACATTGGATGAGCAAAGGTTAGATAAGCAAGACTCTATTGTTTTGTTGTTGTTGTTTTTTCAAATCAAATGTTGCCAAATTTACTCTCCCAGTAAGCTTCATGTTTGTGGCTTGGGCAGAAGGGTTGAAGGAATCCTTTTCTCAATATGTGGAGACAAAGTCCCCTTCTACACCTCCATGTAATCCAGATTATCAATCCACATTATCTGCTTTGAATTAGATTATATTAGTCTATATTCCAACATTATCCAATTCAAAGTAGATAATCGTAGATGGTATAAATGAACAAAGGAATGGTAGAAGGATTATGAGAACGGAATCTGATTTTACTGAGGCATTGATGACCACGTTGTTTTGTCTTGTATTGTCTGTTGTGTATGTTGTGTTTTAATCTAATTGTTATTGTTATATAAATTGCATTGTAAACCACATTGAGTCGCCGATTTAGGCTGAAAAATGCGGTATAAAAATAAAGCAAATAAATAAATAAATAAATAAATAATCTGGATTTTCTATGGCAGTGTACAGGGGGCCTAAGTGCTAAAGGAAAACAGTACAGTTTCTTTGACATCTGCTGCAGGCCTAATAGAAAAAAAAATGTTCCAAGTACTTTCTGGGATCTGTATGGACTACCCCCCAAAAAAGCCCACCATAAACAACCCCCAAGACCAGATGTACTCATGACCATTCTGGTTTTGAAAAACAAATATTATATGGTGTGAAACAGTGCACTGCCTACTGAAAGAGTGAACCACTATTTCCAAGAGCTTTCAGGAAAAAAATTGCATGGTTTTGTTAATTAATTTTGTTTTCATCCAGAGAAAAAGCACTTTGGGATGTGTCAAGTAAACAGAATGTCCAGTTTGGCTGGAGGGAAGGGAGCATATTTTACTAACCAATGGTAACGCGATCTACGTGGGGCTCCCTCTGAAGAGTCCTTGGAAACTTCAGCTGGTCCAAAGAGCTGCAGCCAGGTTGCTCACTGGGGCTGGCTACAGGGAGCGGACAATCCCCCTGTTGCAGCAGCTCCGCTGGCTGCCAGTCTGTTTCCGGGCACAATTCAAAGTGCTGGTTATGACCTTTAAAGTCCTAGACGGTTGAAGTCCAGATTACTTTCTGACCGAATGCCCATGTATGAACCTGCCTGAGCCCTAAGATTTTCAGAAGAGGCCCTTCTCACGGTCCCACCTCCATGTCAAGCACAGTTGGTGTGCTTCTCTGTGGCTGCCCCTCGACTCTGGAACTCTCTGCCCAGAATGGCCCACTACCTGCTGTCCTTCCAGTGGCAGGCGAAAACTTTTAAATTCAGACAGGCTTTAAAAGATGAAGGTATTTAAATATAGTCAGAATGTGCTGTGGTTTATTTATTGATTTATTTATTTCCTATATTTCTACCCCACCCTTCTCACCCCTGAGGGCAGCCTCACAAAAGCATCATAAGATGCCGAACATCATAAAAACAATCAACAATCAGCAATGCATTAAAATATTTAAAAACAGTAATTAAACAATTGATTAAAAGCACGCCTGTTAAAACCAGAATCCAAAATCCAATCCAAGGTCCAGTCCAGGTCAATTCATTGTCTTAAAAACTTCTTTTACTTGCTGTTTTTAACTTTGAATATGTTTTAATGGTTTTTAACGGAGACTTTTTAAATACTGTTCATATTTAATCCTGTTTTAATGTTTGCATGATGCTTTTATGTTAAGCCGCTTTGACTATCCTGCAGGAAATAAAGCACAGAATAAATAAATATAATAAATAACAATAATAATTAAATAATAATTCAGCATCTAATGGACAAATTGCAGTCCCACAGAACCCATGAAGTTCACCCCAATCTTCATATGCCAACACATTTTTTCAGTTGATATTTGGGAATGAAGCTGAAGATTCTGGAATAGTCATGTAGCCTGTCATAAATGTGTTTGTACAAACAGAAAAAGAGTCTGAGAGAGACTCTGGGCAGTCAAGGTCGTAATGTGAAAATAATGCAGTAATTGGCAAACTGAGGGAGGATGAGACAGTTTTCGATAGGAGTCAAATCAATCAACATTGCCACCTGGAAGGGAATAGAAGATGTTCTGAAAGATTAAGAGAAAAACTGATTCAGGGAGAGGTTTCTCAAGGGAAACGGAATGCTTTTGCCATGGCTTTTTAAATAAATATAGGGCCTTTGAAACTGTCACTTTCAGTGGGACCAACTGTTTAGATTTGAAGAGCAATCCATATCTTCTCTCTCATGTTCATGGCTTTATTTACATACTGATAATCTTGTAATGTTTTCTGCCTTGGATCTATGGCCATGCCTTTGGATTTAATTGCCTTTGGATTTAATTGCCTTTGGATTTAATTGTTCCCGACTCATTAGTGTGATTTTGACTTTGAATTCCTGGACCATTTTGGGCTCACAAACTCTTGTTCCTGTGGATTTTGCTTAGGATTTTGGGACATTCTTGCTTTTTGAATTTGATGCTGATTTTATTGCTTACTATGCTCAACTGACTGTTTTTATGGGCAATATTCTATTCTACTTTTGATCTTTTTTTATTCTATTGCTGAAGCTATTTTTATTCTTCAATAAACTGCTTGCTTATAAAGAACTTTGATGTGGTTTTGTGTTCAGAGGTGCATCTACAGTCCTAGTGTGCAACATGGGCTGGCTATGGGGATGTTGTCTATAGTGACATTTGGAAATTGTTCCTGACCACCACACAGCTGCTCATCCTTAGTTTAGTGTAATATGCAAGTTGAACTCAGGGTATTCAAGTTTTCTCTTCTAAGATCTATGTGCGATAAGTAATTCTTCTCACAAAAAAAGTTATCCTCAACCTCAGCAACATGGAGTTGATGAGGGATTAGGGGAAATCCAACCCCAAATTGGGAAACAAGTCATCCAGGAATACCTGGCCACTCTAAACGAATTCAAGTCCCCAGGGCCAGATCAACTACACCCAAGAGTATTGAAGGAACTAGCGGAAGTCATTTCAGAACCACACGCAATATTCTTTTAGAGTTGGAGAACGGGAGAAGTCCCAGCAGATTGGAGGAGGGCAAATGTGGTCCCTAAGAAGGGGAAAAAGGACGACCCAAACAATTACTGTCCGGTCAGCCTCACATCGATACCTGGCAAGATTCTGAAAAAGATTGTTAAGGAAGTGATCTGCAAACACTTAGAAACAAATGAAGTCATCACTAATAGTCAAGTCAAGGCAAACTAATCTGATC